ATATATATATATATATATATATATATATATATATATATATATATATATAGATAGATAGATAGATAGATAGATTATGAACTAATTACGAACTCTTCTTCAATGATTCTGACCTTGACATGTATTATTAAGAAAAGTATACTGAATAACATACAAAAATCTTCAACCATCGTACTTTGTTTATTGCAATATTATTAAGAAAAGAAATTTAACAAATGTTACAGTTAGCTTAAACTAACCTACGTCATTATGGCATTTCTGTACATAAAAAATAAGTTGTTTATTAGTCTTTGTCATAAGTTATATTTTTTATAGCATACAGCTTGTCATAATTGTAAAGAATCGATTCTATTAGGAGTTCGTTAATCAGTATATTTACAATATTTACAAGTAATGCTTTATATATATATATGATATTAGATATTATTTGTAAATATTGTATATAACTATAAGATTCTTATAGATATTATAAGAAAATAATGAATAAAACATTTTTTACGTATGCTTGTTATCGAGAATAATAATAGTTTTTAGCTACGGCATTGTTTATGCTCAAAATTACTTACATGCTGCGCGAACAAGTAGCTCTTGGATGCATTTTTAATGGAAAGAGTAGTTGTAGTCTCGTTACTTGATACTCTCTAACACAGAGAGAGAACCTCCGGCTTGTTTCATAGCTAGACGGAACGTCATGGCTGAACCAACGAATAAACCAATAAACGGGGCAACCATCTGCTTGCCAGCCGGCACCTTTCCCTTCCCTCTCATTCCCCTGGTCGTTCCCCAGCTCCATTCTTCTCCCCTCGTGTTTCTTCCTCTTGGTCTTCCCCCTTCCGTCTCCTCAGCACCATTTTATGCGATTCTGAAATGAAATTCACGTGAGGGCTCACAGCATCTATGGGGAATACGTGACTTTTGTACTGCGATAATAAGCGAATATCTATAATAACAAACTTTTATCAGAGCAATTTATTGATTGATTAAAGCACAATTCGAATATGAATGAGCTTTTAATCAATATGAAGATTTTCTTTCTTTCTCTTTATTTCTATACACACACACACACACACACCGGGTGTCTTAAACTTTTTTCTGCAATTTTTGTAGAAATATAGAACGAATTGAAATGAACATAAAAGTCCCATACCGTTTTGCGATATTCGCAATAAATTGAAATATTAATTAAAAGAGATTAGGGTATGATATAGTAAATAAGCTGTAGTGGCATCGTTGTATGCTTATATTAGGTCAAATTGAACAAAAAAATCCTCTATTATTTGGCAAATGATCACATAGATTTTTAAATATTAATTAAAGGAGATTTGTGCTTTATCACGCGCGCATACAATCATATAACAATCTTCTTTTATAGTAACTAAACATTTACGTGGTTATTTGCAAAATGATAAAAAGTTTTTTAGTTCAATTTGACCTAATATACAAGCACATAACAGTACATACCGCCACTATAGTTTATTTACCATATCGCGCATGACCATTCTTTAATTAATATTTCGACTATTATTGCAAATATCGCAAAACAGTATAGGACTTTTATGTTTACCTCCGTTCTATGTTCCAACAACAATTGCGGAGCAGAGCTTAGGACCCTGTATATATATTCCTTTTTTAATTAATATTACACATACACAGAGAGAACGATTTGGTTGAATCAAATAAACACTTCTTTGGAATAGTCCAAGCGAATTTTTTGATTAATCGAACAAAATTTTGTTTGACACAACAAAAATATTTATTTGCGGCTTAGTTCCAAAGAAATATTTTTATTGTGTCAATCAAATAATTTGTTTGGACTATTCCAGAGAAACATTTATTTGATTCAATAAATCGTTCTCTCTGTGTACACAGAGTGTTTGATGCAACTTGTACATCCGCTTGTGTGCAAATAGAACTCGTCAAGCTGAACACAAAAGTCTTCTACCATTTTGCAAATATATAAAAAATTTGGAATTCTTAATTAAATAAGTTTCTAGACGAATTCTATTCGCACATATGAGTGGATATGCGAGTTGCGTCAGACACTCTATATATGTAATATATTTGTTTTCATGTGCATGTTTGTTTATATCTTGATATAAATGACTGATATATATGTATTAATAGTTATACTAAAATAACTAATCATTTTGTATTAATGTGTACAGTATATTATATATAAATATAAGAATTATAAAGAAATATTAGGTTTTGTGTGTGTGAATATAATGCTAAAATAATTGTGATAAAATTCTAGTATACATCACGAAAATGCACGGTCGAATAAGTCAAAGGTTATAATTTGTATAGAAATTATGTGTGGAATCTGAAAGACGAAAACTTCAAAGAAGTTGGAAACGCGCAGCATGTTGCCTAAGAAACCGAAGGTCAAATTGGCCATTATTCGAGGCCTATTACCTACAACGGTCCATGATACCTGCTCCAATCCTGAGAAAAGAAAAACGCCGACAGCAAAGTCGCTCCTTATTGTAAAAGGAACAGGAAATTCTGGTAATTTCCATATCTGAAACGATATCACGATCCACATTCTTAAGTATTGAAACTGCTTACAGAATCGTGTTTTATAATAATATGTTAATATGTAGTCTAATAGTAACGTGTCAGAATACATAAAATAATATGCACATTAAAATCTATATACGGTAAAGGATTATAACTTGTACAATATTTATTGGTAGTCATATTTTTGCACTATTATATAGACTGTGAATGATAGTGTAATAGTTTAGTATAGTGAGAGTATAGTTGGCCATATGATCGCGCCTATATAAGATTAACAAGGCCTCGTTGAGTCTCTCTTCATGCATGAATTGCACAGTGTGTTGTCATCTTATGGAAACGTGTAAAATTATCGCACACCAGTACTTTAATTTGATTATATTCAAAATTTAAAAAATGCTACAGGGTCAGTTGATATGTTAAAATTGAATATGTTAAACTCAAAACGAAATACCATAAAAAGCCATATACGATGCCTCGCGATTCTAACATAAATTGAATTAGATATAATTGTAAAATCAGTTCAACACTAAATGATAGTACGTCTGATATGTGCTGTTAAAATATTTGGTAATAACAGTCCCATTAACACTTTGAACGCCACGTCATTCGTAAATGAATGACACAGAAATGTTTATTTCGGTGAACTTAACGTTATCAAGTAATAAAACAATTAACATAAAATAATATTTTGAGACAAAAGTGATGACAATTGAGAAAAAAGTCGCATAGCTCGAGGAGACATTTTAGTGAAATCAGTTTGGCACGAAACGGGGCAGACAACATCGATCATTCAACACTTCGTTATGTCATACTGTCTCTTGTCCATCCACGTGCTGATTTGTGCGACTATTATGTGTGTGTGTGTGTGTATATGTGTATATATATATTAACTCCATATTAACAAATGATACATGATTTTTCAAAATTTGTTTTCTACGAGATAAGTTGAAGCGTGATGGGAATATTCTATCCGACGGCAGAATATTCTAGAATCGTTAGTCTGCGACCGCGTATTCTTCGCTTAAATATGTAATTTACATCAGAAATTCTGTACAAGTACTCGGAAAATATAAATTCTTGCTTAAGAGATTAATCTTTCCGCAATAAGACATCTAATAAGTTAAAGATCGAATAATTAGATATGGAATGTGTTCGGAATAATTCTTTAAATTAAGCCCGCAGCTTTCGTGCACGTATGACCGATTATCTTACACCGATTATCACGTATGATTAAAAATATACACGTAACGTGTTATTTATAAACTCGTATTCAAACGTTATTCTCAAGCACTGCACAGAAATAAAGGATTTGATAAGCAAATTGCAACGTATGAGCAGTTATGAGCTGCTTCTTTCAAATATTACATCATCTATATCAGATTTCACTAATTTTACGTGGACGTATATCATTTGAATACACGCATATAATATCACACACATACAACACACACACACACACCCACACACACATACACAACCAGTCCAATTACTCTTTATTCGCAAAAATAGGACGCATAGAACAAAGTCTTCCACGCCGGGTCCGTCGGCAAGCTTACAGCAGCGTAAGTTCCGATCTGTGCGGAATATTTTCATTGTACAATTACGTCCTGCCTCGCGAGTTACGAAATGAACCGGAATGGAACCGTGTCGCGGGTGAGGAGCACTGTGCAAATCGATCGGCGTCCCGCCAGATTGCAAGAGGCTATGCGGGAGTCGCAAAATTCACCACCGTCGGCGCCACCGCGCCGGTGCCTTATATGTGCCGAAGTGTAACTCGCCGGCTATCGACATCATGCTAATGACGATGATATCTATTTCTCTCATCTGAATAAGTCGATACAGCGGCTCTGACGCGTTATGCAAAAAGGCAAAAGGATGGGATTGTTTTTTCTGTCTCGCACGATTAGAGCAGAACGCGAAAACGACGTGAGATTTGCGCGTCTCGTGCATTTTCTGTTGTATTTGTTTATTCGAAGGTATGTTACATGTCTGACGAGAATCAAAATCTGTCGACTATATTAATCTGTTTAATCCTACTTAAACCAAAAGCAATTTTTAACGATATTAAGTTATTTGGTAGAAAGAAACGACGCACTGTTATGAACAACGCGCGTCTTGACTACATTGATGAATTAAGAGATATGTGGATAAATGAAAAAGAACTTTCTCTTTACTTACCATAATCTTTACAGAAAATGTGCCTCGAATGTTGTTCGATGCAAATTTGTCCACTTATCAGGTGGAAGTGTGTGTACAACAATGAATATGTCTGATACTGCACTTTCTTTCTCCGTGATTATATATACACAGTAATAACATTTATATTGTGCAAACAGTAATAACATTTATATTGATAATGCATTTTGAAAATTAGAAGAGATGTTTTTTACAAAAATTTTGAGATATTGTCATGCAACTAATATTAGTTTTGCATTATTTCAGACTTATATTTCTGACAAATTATAACAGATCATTCTTCTGTAACTGTGTTCCATTCTTGACTTTTAAAAATAGAAAGTGTCAAGGACATACAGAATGCTTTTATACGCTAAGAAAGAATAACCCTCTTATCTCTCGTTCAATATCCGTTGAACTGACACTATCTTGAACAAACCATCAAATCGTATTCTATTATTCACGAATTTTTGGCCGAATATTTTCAAGGATTCTTTTGTCTGGCACATCACTAAATGTCACACCCAGCCCTCACAAACAATAAACGAACGGATTTTAACAAAACCGAGAGAACATATACACAAACTCACCGATGCGTTAGCCGAGTATATTTTGAGCACATTATGGATTTTACGTTGATACACTGGTTTATCGCAAAACAATCTCCTTTCGACAAGCACACAGACGTCCATAAGATGAGTCTCGGAGTTGGGGATGGAAATGCGCACGGATCGACGCTGGGCGTCGCCATCGTAGGGATGGAACAGCCAGGACTCGGTGAGGTGGTGAATTCAGGGCTAGAGTGGGGGGAATTCGAAAGTCGAGCAAGGAGCTTCGTGTCCGACCGCCACTACGGCGACCTGCAGACTGTTCTGTCGAGCGACCTCGGCGTTCCTCGGTTACGGACAGTCATTAACATAAATTGTCTTTGGTGACAGATACTACCACCACTACTGCTTCTCTGTTGCACCTATTAAAATGACGTTAATGCATTCGCGACGCCACATATACAGCTTTATACGTCATTTATTCTTATTTCATTTATATTTTTCATTGTTTATATAGAAAAATGTTATGAAACATCATAGGACGCTTTTGAAACATCTCGACAAACTTTTTCGTTGTAGCGTAGTACGTGCTTATCTTTTTTTTCAGGTCGTACCATAAATCTTGTGGCGGAATGCGCTATGAAGTCCCGTATACCTGAAATTGGAAAGTTTCTTTTCAAAGGAGGTACTATACCGTGAACGAAATTAGTTTTCCTATGACTCCGTAGCTATGTATAAAACTGCAACAATTTTTGGTGCGCTAGAGTTAAACATAATATTAATATAAATTTAACATTATAAAGAAAAAGATATTTACTAAGTTTTGTCCTTTTTACTAAACCGAAATCTAACATACTTTCTTTCTCTCCATTATATAAGTTTAGAAATATAATTTAAAATTTTCTGAAAATATGTGTGTGTGCGTTTTATGTGTCTATAAGTTTCATTAAAGTCGTTATAGAATCATTATTAAAACAATCAATATTTAATTATGTAAGACACAACACACGTGAGATAATATACATACATACATATTCAAATGAATGGATGAATGGAGTAAATTCAAATTTATGCAATGAGTTGTTGCTCGCAAAATTATACATTTAGCGCTCATTCTCGAATCTGTTAGTAAGGTGGTGTTGCTGATTTACGATAAAGTCTCACTTACGATAGTATGTTTAGAGTTCACTCTCGAATCTGATGGTAAAGCGCTATTGCTAATTTACAACGCCGACTTAACATGATCGCATCGAATATACGCAGAAAAATATCGTATCTTTGAAATAAACACTTACGTACTCTAAATATATCAACTGATAATAATGTAACATATTGCTATTTGCTAAATTCATTCTTGTTAACATCATTAAGTTTCTTCAAATGATCAACAGTCGCCATAAACGGAAATATATAAGAACGGTACGTATTGTAAAAAATTTCTAATAATCCTACAGTTGGTAAGTGCGAACAAATATCGATCGGTATATATAGATAAATGTATATATACTGTTTAAAAGTTCTTTGCACATGTTTTTACACTTATTAAAGTTAAGATTATAATGTATCATTACAACTGTTTATTATTTTTTAATGTTACCTTAAATAGATAATATTATGATTCACGAACGCGTAGAGCGTTAGGTAGCTCAGTGGTTTAGTAGAGCAGTCGCCCGGTAAGTGAAAGATTTGAGTTCGATTACCGACCTTAGCAAACCTCTTTTCTCTCTGCCGGAACGAAAAGAAAACATAGATGCTGACCGCATGGTGGCGTCCCGCAGCCACCTAGTACGCCATCCTCCTGGGATGCGTTCAGATTACCTACCCGGGTTCACTCTATTACTAGAAACACTATAGTATATGTTACATATACTATAGCACTTCTAGTATTAGAGTGCACCCGGGTAGGGAATCTGAACGTACCCCTGAGTGTATGAAGTTGGCACCCCACTTTTTGAAATTTATAATTTTGAAAGTTGTTCCAGATTGTTCTGACTTTGTACCACATTGTTCCAAAGTGATATTGCTTCATTTGCAACGGTTTTCGAATAAAACAAAAAAATGATTTTTTGAGCTGGCACCGCACTTTTCGAAAATCGAACATTCTGATACCGCAATAGATTGTTCTAGTTGTTCTAAACATTGTTCCAAAAGGACAAATCCGTAAGTTGAATTATAAGTCCAAAAAATGAAAAAAATATTTTTGACCTGGCACCCTATTTTTTGAAAATAAAGCATTCCGATACCGATATAGATTGTTCTAGTTGTTCCAAACATTGTTCCAAAAGCACAAATCAATAAGTTTAATTATAAGCCCGAAAAATTAAAAAAAAGTTTTTTGACAAACAGTCTATCGGACCAAGAGTAAACTTATACTATCTTTCTTGTTCCAACCGAGATCTTTTTGTTCTGAGTTGTGCTAGGCTTAAGAATTATAGTTTTAGAGTATGAGACTCGTAGCGTCATCCGTTCTCCGAAAATTCGAAAAAAAATCGATTTGACAGCACCCGACGTCAAGAGAAAACACATGCTTCCTTTCTTGTTCCAACTGAGATCTTTTTGTTCTGAGTTATACTAGGTTTAAACGATGAAGCAATTTTACTTTATTTTGTCATGACATTTTATAATTATTTCCGCCAATTTTCCTATAATAAAGATTAATTTTTGTAAGAAATCATCTTTTTCTTGAATTTTTGTCACCTCAGAAATATATTTCAATCATCCTTATTTTCAACCATCCAAATAATTATATTTTTTTAAATCAGTATATAGAACTTTTTGTTGGTTGAATATGACGACTTGTTGCGTAAGCCAAAAAAACTTTCTGTTCAAGCTAAAGGCAATGTAAATATATGTATTTATGTAGAAACATAAAATATTTTTAACCCTCCGTTTGCATTATGTTTTTTAGTAACGCCATTTGCACGGTGACTCCTTTAAGTCCTGTAACATTTTTTTGTTAAACTCATCTAAAAAATCTGAAAAAATTCTGGGATACTCTAGAGAGATTATATTTTATGTTCCAATAGTTACTTTAGTCATTTATTAACAATTTTTTGCAATAACAATTTAAATTTGCCGAAATCGACAAAAAATGTAATTTCGTAAAAAAAATTAATTATATTAATCAGTATTACAATACTGCCACATTTTCCGTGGAATTGATTAAGTTCGTCTATGTAGGGTCTTCATCGCAAAGTCGTTACCGATCTTCTTTCTTAGCATGAAGCTGGAGGCCTAAACGATCAACAGCCAGTGCTTGTTCGGCTTGGGGAACTTTGCGTTCAGACTTGGGAATACTAAGAGCTCGACACTATCTATTTTAACGTGAATGAATCTCGTGAATCAAATATAATATTTCATTTTATTTAAAATTCCTTGAATAAACTTCAGGTAATTGTTTTATATTATCAATACTAAGATTTCTTATGTGTTGTTCCTACAATTACAATTCATGATACTAAAGTAGTCGGTAACTGTAACAGGATAATTCAAACCTCATTTATCAAAAGAGGTATTCTACGCAAAAGTTTATCTCTGACGATATGTTACCGACGTTCGAGTTGAAACTTTGAATGCGTACCGATTGATGTAAATTTCAAATTTATTATATCATATATGTACAAGATAAGGTAACATTGCGACAAATTAGTTTATTTGTTGAACATTGCGTGGTATAACAATGTTTTATTGAAAATACAATTTAAAACTCAAGTATAAAATTAATGTACTATGTGGAAAGAGTCTAATTTTACATATATTAATTTGATGCATATCAATAATATTAAATTTTAATTGCATTTGCACTGGCGAAAATATAATAAATGCCAGTAAATGCATAATTTTTTGGTACTTTTAACATTTATTACCAAATAAATGTTTAATTCATAAAAAATTTGTGAATTTACCAATAAAAAATATTTCTGTAAATTCAAATGGTAATTTAAATATGTATTTTATTTTACAATAATATTAATATAAATATATTATCTTAAAATAAAAACAATAAACATCAATTTTATATTAATAAATAGAAATGTGTGTAAAAATATATACAATATATACATATGTACAATATATATATACATATAAACATACAATATATATATATATATATATATATATATATATATATATATATATATATACATACACAAGCTCACATGCACGCACACATATATATACGCACGCACGCACAGACGCACATATATAGATTATTTACTGTAAAACCTAAAGATAAATAGTAATTATAAAAAATTAATAATTATAAAAAAATAATTATTATTTAAAAATATTAAACATATTACATACACAAATATTGTACACACAGAAGATATAGTAGTTAACTTAGTATATTGTATATATAGCTTAAATATATATATATATATACATATATATATATATATATATATATATATATATATATATATATATATATATATATATATATATATATATATA